TTGACTAACTACCTACAATATGAAACAGAGAATAAAAGATTATGACTCGTTCAAGCATGTAATATTTTCAGTCGACTGCAAATTTAACAATTTTGGCTCTGTTCATCGAACTTATTCTATACACTTTTCCTTAAACATGGAGGAGGAAGTGTTATGGTTTGGGCATAAATGATAGTCTATGGAAATGGAAAGCGTATGTTTAATGATAAAATATGCGTGTAGAATTATAATGTTGCTGCTGTACACTTGTCAAAAAACGATTGAGTCACAGACCAAGTTTAATCCTAAATCGAATCGAATATTTTTAGAATAAATTAAATTGAAAAATTCAGAGACAAAATTAGTAACAGAAATAAAGTGAAAAGCCCGTTTGAACAACAATAATCAAAAAATTGATGAACGCCACAGAAAAACTATCAATAGACGATCTCTGCCTAACGGATTGAACACTGTGCTGGAAAGAACAGACAATCGAACAAGATATTGAAATATTCAATCTTTTGGTGTAACAAAATTTTAATTTGAAATAAATGTGATCTGTTCCATTGCCACTGTTACGTAGAATTGCCTAAAATTGTTATTAGAGGCGCAATCCCCTAAAAGGCGTAATCAGTGAAGCAAATACAGTAGATCCCCCTATAAAAGCGTTTCCTATAGTTATGATTCCTATAAAAATTGTGGCATTATCCGTAAACAACGGTAAAAATAACTCCTATAATACGTAAAACGTCATCGGGCAGCCGAACTACTTACCCGCCGTCCGTAGCGCCACGCTACGGAGAGATTTCTATCGTCTGGACAGTATTATATAAATTATATATAAATTAGGTACTGTACATATAATTATATATTAATTATATATAAATTAGGTACTGTATATATAATTATATATTAACTTAATTTATTGTAACTTTATTATAATTAAATATATATTTTTCGCCGTCTAGCGTCACGCTACGGCGAGTTAGGCGACCTATCGTCTGTTTAGTACTGTAATTTTNAACTGATAATGTTCGAACGTGTAAAATACAATTTCTTAAGAGTGAATCGTGGATTTCATTCTTGCAAGATTGAACTTAGTTCAATATAAACCACTATCGTACCCAGCAGAAAATAAAAAAAAAAATACGTAACCAACACCTTATTACTCGCTTAGAGATTTTTATTAAAACAAATGTTTTCGATCCATTCAATAGATCATCATCAGGCTAAATGGAATACTTCATAAATGGAACAAGTTCAAAATTCAAAAATACTAAAAACCGATGTACTACTAGAAACCTAGGTGTAAGGATCAGAGAACACAGGTATGATATTAGAAAAGGATCCAATACAACAGTATTGGCCCAGATGGCACAAGCAGGTTCCTTGGTTCGATGGGATGAAGTGGTAATCCTAAAACAGATACACTCTCAACTTTGGCAAGAACGGCTAAAAACTTACAAGAGGCACATGTACTCTAGTATGATGTAAAGGAAACTCTATTTAGTTAGGATAGACAGTATTAATACAGTAGAGCGTCGTTTATCCGAAAGTCAATTATCCCAAAAGAATTCCAGTCCGCAAATTTAAATTCTTGCCAGTGCTGTGGCGCTGCAATCTTTGGCTATGTCTTGGGCTACTCAGATATTTTACGTTTTTGATACTAAAATAACTTCTGAAGTATAATTTTTTAATGTTTTTATAATATTCAATATATTCATTTTGTTTGTACAAAATAAAAAAATAATTTTTAACGATACAATAGTCTTCGTTAGGCTTAACATTGACGAAAATTCAACGCAAAGCGACACGCAACGGCGAAAAATTTCAACACGGAATAAATTAATAAATTTTTTCGTACACAATCGGTTATTCAAAATATCGATTTATTCCCCGAACAACCCCAGTCTCAATTGATTCGGATAAACGACGCTCTACTGTATTCCATTTAGCCCGATGAGGATTCATTGAATGGATCGAAAACGTTTGTTTTAATAAAAATCTCTCAGCCAGTAATAAGGTGTTGGTTACGTATTTTTTTTAACATAGTACTTCGCGTTTTTAGTTTGTTTTTGTATTTGCAGGGGAAGATTAGCTAAATAGAAAAAAAATAAAACGATTTTAATTAAATATCAGACAAATTCATATTCAATGTGTATATTGTACAGTGATTAAAATATTTATTCTCTGCGCTAAATCATTTAAAATTTATATAAATTCTATTTTTAAATTACAGGATATTTACAGATAAACATTTACTGAAATACCAATAAATTTATATGATAAAGTGTAGTTCGTGAATTTTATAAAAATTTTTTAAAAGGATGTCTGCACGAAAAATATGTATACAGAATGCAAATGGTATGTAAAAAATAAGTTTAAATTGGAATTGTTATTGTAGATGTTTACATTGACTAACTACCTACAATATGAAACAGAGAATGAAAGATTATGA